CTGAACCTGGCTGCCAAATAAACTTTTCCTGTATCCTGAGAAGTCTAAAGCCTGTCATTTTCTGCAACAACATTAAGCTGTATTTGCTTAGGCACACAGGAAGTGTATTTGATTAAGCTGGGTTCAGCATATTGAATGAAGACAACAATGCACTATTTAAATCCATACAAGCAATGGCAAGAAGGCAAAGTGTGCTCTGTTTTTCTCCTACAGTGGGGAGGGAATCAGGGATGGGCTAGAGACTCGGTCTCCTCCCTAGTCACAAAGTCACATTTGACCAAAGTGGTCTCTCTTCAGAGAATTGGGCTGAAAAATAATGTTCACACATAAAGATACAGACACATATACTATGTCATACTTTCCTAAAAACTAGCGCTATAAAAGTGGAATTCCAAAGATCCTACCAGATAGGGAAATGGGAGATTGTATGAATGCATGGTGGGGAGAGCAACAAAAAAATGGTTTCAGTCGGGAAAAAAAATAGGAAAAACATGATCACGTGAAAGAGAGCAGCAATGAAAGTAGTTGCGTAACCTTCAAAGGTTTTTTTAATGCGTCTGAGATGTATGCTTTCTTTCTCAGTAATATGCTTCCTTGATAATCTCTAGTGAATTGCGAGCGAGTTTTTTTTTTGCTGTTCAGAAATGTCTTCGGAATTGAATGGTTGTACCCCAGCACAAGCATTTCTGGAGTCTTTTTGAGAAGCTGAAACTGTAAACTGGATTGTTGTGCCTTTTTGTCTGCCTCAGGTGCCAAGTTCCGCTTTGCTTCCTATTATGCTGACCACATGGTACTCCAGAAGGAACCATCTCGTGCAATCATATGGGGCTTTGGAGAGCCTGGTTCTAAGGTGATGCTGACACTCTTCCAGAATAATAGTGTTGTGACCAAAACGGTACAGATTGAAGGTAATCCATAATAATAGCAATGTGTCCATGGCTTCCTTGTCCTAATGCCCATGCATAGAATATAGAGTAATAGAAGTGATCTTGGAGATCTTCTAGTCCAACCCCCTGCCTGGTGGTAAGAGACCCTACACATTCTGGACAAATGGCTATCCAGTCTCTTCTTAAAAATCTCTAGTGATGGAACACCCACGACTTCCAGGTAAGCTATTCCACTGATTAATTGTTCTCACTGCCAGGAAGTTTCTCCTTAGTTCTCAGTTGGATCTCTTTAATGACTCTAAGTCTATTACTTCTTGTCCTTCCCTCAGGTGCTTTGGAGAATAGGTTAATCCCCTCTTTTCTGTGCCCCTCAAGTCCCAGAAGACTGCTATCATGGCACCCCTAGTTCTTATTTTCATTAGGCTAGACATGCCTAGTTCCCTTAGTTGGGAATGTTAGTTGCCAAAATGAGGCTTCCATCTAGGATCTTTCCATTCCTGTATGGGTGGCTGTATATTTCCTTCTTACATTTCAGGCCATCAAGTTTAACTGCTGCTCTGTGCAGGGATCCAAATAAAGCTATGATTGTGGCACCTGGGTGAAGAGAACTGCTCTACCAAAGGTTTAGCAGGCTGTCGGGGAGAAGAAATAATGGCAATAAATCACCAGTTTCTTACAAGAAAGTTAAACTTTGGTTATAACACAATAAAGAAACTGTCAAGAGGTTTAGTCATTTTAGAAAGATATTGATCTCTAATGTGTAGTTTGCACTGCTCAAAACCACAAGAGGCTAGCATGGGAGTACCTTTTGACCCATCACTTTCTGTTCTGACCCCCTCCTCCGTCCAGTAACGAATGCCGAGACAAGCTTAACTGGAATGTACTTTATTAGCATGAAACCAAAACCTCGGTGGCTGAAAGCCAAGCATAACAAACAGATAAGGACCTTGGCAGCAACTCAGACAAGCCTTGGCAGCCATCCAGCCTGCCAAGCTAGTTACAAAAGTACTCCAACTTTTAGTCAATGTGTTGACTTCTGCAACAAAGGGCGTGTGCACAAGCAT